GGTTTAATGCAAGCTGTGGTTGTATCACAGCCTTTTTAAAAACCACTAACTGCCCCCAGTATATTACTGTTTTATGGGTTTGTAGAGCTGTTACCTGAATTAACAATGTGTTGTTGGCAATAAATATGAATAATGATGTGACATATTTTCCTAGCTACATCACAATAAATATGCGTTCTGAGTTTAGCATTCTGTAAATTGAAAATAATCAATTTTTCCTGATTTGTTCTTTAAAAATGAAATTATTTTGAAACGATAATGCCTGATTAATTCATCCATAGTTTGAACATTATTGTTTGATTCTTTTTGTTGTCATTTAATTTCCTTAAAGGGATAACAACTGTATATTTTGGCCAAAAAATGAATTTCCTGGGGTAAACAACAATTTACCAATGGTTAATGAATCCATTTCTACATTCAAAGTTACTCTCTGTTTTTTTTTCTAGAAAGTTTGTTTTGTTTTTTGTAATAATCTATTAAGAGATTATTACAGAGTATAACCATCTATGGAGGTCACATGGAATGAAGACAAGCACAGATTTCAGAATAATTACTTTAACTGCATTTTTGTAGTAAAATAGAATATATTATATTTCTATGAGTTGTTTACAATGTTTTTACTGTGAAATATAGATCTCACACGAAGAGTTGTTATCCCTTTAATCTTATTTTTCTAAGAGCAATTTCAGGTTTATATATATATATATTAAAGTCCTGATTATGAAACTGCTCAGAACCATCCCTCTCTCCCAATTATTAATACAACCACCTGTATCAGCAGCACATCTGATCATTTCCACTGAAGCATTTTTAGCCAACACTATGGCATGTAATGATAAATTTATATACCATGCTGTTTTTGTTGTTTCTGTTCAGGTGTTAAGAGGATGTTTGTTTATGCTTAAAAAGAGTAATGGCAAATTTCGCCCTTATTACTGTTAAAAAGCGTAACACATGCTAATAATAACTTTATAGAGTGGGCATTCAAATCTTAGAATATTTTTCCACTGTGAAAGCATTTTTTATTCATTTTTTTAATTTAATTTTTAGCCATATTATTTGCAGTATAACATGTTCATTCATACCAATGACTGCTGAAAAGCTATGGAATTTTTTTATTTTAAATTTAATACAAACACCCTTTTTTCTCCTTGATTCATGATATCAATTATTATACTTCACATTTCACTATCTTAAAGAATTGTGTACATATTTAATGCAGAGTTCTGCAATGTACAAAAATATTAATCATTTTATTTACTACATCTGTAACAAATCAAATACTTAGCATTTCTGGACATTGCATGACTAATAACACTTTTAAACCTTTCATCATCATTCATTACATCCCGCGTGTCCAAATAAGTATCAAAATTCTATTCTTGGCATCCAATAAGTTTTCTCTTCAGGTATGATAGGTATTTTTGGACATTGCAAATCTTATGATGATTATGAACATTCTAACATGCAATGAAAATCCACTTTAAAAATTCTGTATATAACATAAATTTAAAAGAGGAGTACATCTAAATAACACATCTGGACTTTGTATATTTCTTACATTATGAAAAAGTCCACTAAATTTTCTTCTTGAGGAATCATAAGCAATCTGGACATTGCATGACTGGCAAGTAATCCATAAAGCTCAATGGCTTATCCAGTTATAAAAATAATCACTTAATACAATTTCTTGTATTGTTCGCCATTCTGTAGCATGATTCGACTGTTGCATGATGGAGATCTATTGGTATGGTGTCACTTTAACAACAACAATGTTATTTGTTCATCTATATTTGGAACATTATGCATGTGTGTCAGTTGTTGTGGTTGATATGAGCAACATCTGGAGTAGTTTTAAATGACAAACAATTACAAAAACCACAAATTCTCAGCATTGTTTACCTGGCATCTGATTATGAAGACAACTGTGATGACAACAACAATGCCAAGTTATCTCTATCTAGACTGTTACATAACATGTCTGATGTATCGGCTTTTATAAACAACATTTGGGGTATTATAAATGACAGATCATTAGTAAAATGACATGTTCTCTATTTCATTTGCTTGGCATCACATTTAGTGAGACAACTCTGCTTATAACAATGTTACCTCTGAATCTATATTTGGACTATTTAGTAGATAATGCCTAATATTTTGATTTACATTAGAAACATCTGGAGTCTATTATAAATGACAAATCACATCAAAAGTGACAGGAATATACTGATAGAGACAATAACACTATCTGCATTATGTATTGATGTTCTTTCAAACCTACATATGCATATAATACAACTTGAAAACCAATTTACATTTTTTCAATAAATAAACAACTGTCGACCAAGACATTTCTATTACATCCAATTTCACAGACCAAATTCACATTGCACTGACTTTTTATAAATGATTAATTCAGGTCATTATACATTCATATATTATTCTCACAATCAGTCGATTTCCTTATTCAGTCTCTCATTTATCCTTATCATAAATATCATTGGCCAGATGTTAAATAATGAGTGGGAAATCATGGCGCCTTTATTGTTCTTCATGCTATAGTGTTCAAAAGGTGATCAAAAGCTAGAATACCAACTGTGGATGTAATGAAAATTGTCATTCGGTGAATCAAAGTTCAGCAGGCAGTAATGACTGGTAAGGTGCCACTTCTTACAGTGGGCCTATCCCTGCGCAGTCATGCTTGTGGATTATAATTGAATCTTTATCATGGCAGTACTATCCCTGACACTAAGTACTACATTATGTCATTCCCAACCATGCAATCAGCATTAATTCATTCTGATATCGACTATAGATTAATTCTCTCATGACAATGGCATATGAATTATGATGATCATACTGGTCCCATGCCAGCCATAGAGTTCAATAAATATCCATCTATCACCACTACTGGCTTAGATAATTTTAACAAAAAATGTCCTTCTGGAGTAATTGTGATCCTTAAATGATTAACTTTACAGAATAAATTCAAAACTGATACCTTTGTGCACCATGTTTCATGTTATTGAATCCACAATAGCTTCAATATTGTTCATTAGCATCACATTTCTAATTAATCTTCCTATATGTCTCAAAAGATATTGGATATTGGATATTGGATATTATGTCAACCATATACAAATGTCTTTCTAAAAAAAATTTATAGTACACATTAACTTACAGACAGTCATGATTATACCTGTATTACCAGATGTTTTTTAATGTGCCACATTCAGATATCTTAAAGGACTCTGGAAATGCCCAAGCACAGCATAAAAAATATATCTATTTTTCAATTTTTTATTAAATCTTACAAAAAAAAATTCCTAGAAATTGGTTTTAAGGAGCAAAGCCTTAAGGAGCCCTCGTACAACAAGAAAGAAACAACTTTAAAGGTCTGATATGGTTCTTAGAATAACAAAATATATGTGGATGGTCATTTGCAATCATTACAGTTAGGTCATGATATTACTTTTATTTCCTTGTTGGATGGGCATACAGGAAATATTTCAAAACTGCTTGTAGACATTTTACTTACAATATATCCAAAAAGCCAAACCATAAACAATCTAGGGTCTTAGCATAACACTTCCCTGGAAATTGCCTCAAGCCATCTCATCAGACATTAGCTCACATGTTGAATGACATCACTCCTTTAAGATATTTCTAAGCTGCTCTTAATGGGTGATTAAAGTACTTAATCTGTATTTTACTGAACATTCACCAAGATGTGAACTTGTACAGATGTATCATTTCAGTGCTAAAATAGAACCTTTCTGGGATAAATATTCTGATAATTTATGGCCAATTTTTCTACTGTTTCAGTGACCAAGTTCTGAAAAGAACTGATCCAATGGAAATAAATAAATAAATAAATAAATAAATAAATAAATAAATAAATAAATAAATAAAAGAAATAGAACAAAAACTTTCAAAACCACTTTCTCAAGGGTAGCCAACTCTTAGGGACTAGGATATTAAGGATATTGTCACTCTTCGCCCAAAACTCCTTATTTACTGCCTTACATACATTCTTTTGGGTAATAAATAAATCTTCAGTGTTCAGTGACCAATTTAATTAACATTTACACATATGTCATCTTACAAATGATGTCATAATTGCGATTTTGGGGTAAAAGCTGAAAAATCGGTTTCTTAAATTTCTCTTTTACCTGAACATCCACAATCACCATTTCAACGCCAATTTAATGACAACATTTAGTACTCCAAAACCCTGCCAGCAATTTTTCTTTATTCAGATTTTATCAATGATAACGCAAAATAATGCCTTTGTTTAATTGTTGTTAAATTGACGATTAAAGCCTTGAGTTGCCTATGCTTATTAGGTTAAACATTGCAATGAAAAAATATAAACGCCGATATTTTATATTTTCGAGGATTTTTTCATTGATTTAAATCAGCAAAAAGATAGATGCATTATTGAATAATTAGATGCAGGAAAAAACTCATTTTTCGGTGTCTGGATGATAATAAAAGGTTATGATATCCTTAAACATATATACTTATTTTTAACATTTTTTCACTTTCCATATACAACCTTCTGCTTTTACTCTACACATGATAAAACATGATAAACAAGGGCATATATTTTTGAAATAATTTGTGTTATAAAACATATAAAAAATACAGAAGAAAATATGACCAGTACACCAAATAACTGTCATGGACTGGATGGAGAAAAGCCACCATTTGATGTGGAAGATGAGTATAAGGGTTACTAATTAAAATGGGTTATTTAGATAAATCTCCAATGAAAAAATTGGATAAAAAGATTGATGAGTCAGATCCATGTATTTTAATATGAACACCTACTTCAATTAAAAATTATTGATGGGGGTATGACCAGTTTATTGGTACTATATAATAGTCTGGCATATGCACGACTTCTTACTAAGATGTCATCTGCCACTGAAACAAGGGCATGGGATACTTTTTTGCAGCACTGTACTAAAAAGCAACAAATCTCTAGAGCATCACACCTTTGACTTTCCTATTACATTCCTTCTGGCACTAGTCTCCTTTCTTCTACTTTCTTTTTACGTCCTAGCAGTCGATCTGAAAGATCAAATTTTGTATCTGTAATCATTTTTTTCAAAATCTTATGGATAAAAAGTGAAACATAACACTGACTGTAATCAAATTAAAACCCAACCCTGCTTTATTTATATTTCCAGCAAATATGTAAATACTAGTTAATATTAAATATTTAGGTAAGAGAAACGTATTATATAAATACCATAACATAAATAACATTATACAAATCCATTTTTCATGATTCTAACACAAATATATTTGCTTATATTGATGGTATCTTATTTTAAGGAGATGTCATGTCTATTGTAACCTAGATACCTAGTAGTGATGGTTTCTCCTGGCCCTCATTGTCACACAAGTGCCAATATGTCTGCATGGGTATAGAATAATTGGATGTTGCTTTCTTGTATTCTTCCAAAGTGATCACTGGGCCACTACAACCTGGGAGGGTTTGTTCCTGAAAACATGAAACCGCACAAAGAATGTTTTACTCATGTGTGGGAGCTATACAATTGTTTAATTAAGTATTATTGAATAAATTACAATGTCTCATGTTTTAACAGTGACCAATAAATGGCCATTCACATCACAGCTACTGGTAAGATAAAATACCCTATTGTGTTATAGAAGATGATGTTGCACAAGAGGAAAGCATTTTGCTTTTCTTTTCACTCAACTTTTGATTGTGTTTTTCATTACTGGCTTATTCACAAAACCATTGTATTAGAGAAGGATATAGCAATTGTGTTAGAGAAGAAGACCTGAACATCTAGCATCACATCCAGTGTCCTTGCTATACAACTGCACCATTCAGATATAAGAAGGATTTTAAATCAATGTAGATAATCAATCATAAACCTTATAATGCCCATAGTAAGAATTCAACTAGTAAGATTTCAGTCAAAATGGCAGAATGATAAAATACCATCTACGAAAGGCTCTCATCCATCAAACTAATGATGAATATCCTTTCTAATACTGAACCAGGTTATAGTTTCCCCCATATAATGAATAGATAGATTATCTATCACCAAATACCTAATTCAATCTACCAGTGATTTAGTAGTTTGCTTCCAGTGGGAGTTTACTGTAAACCGCTCACCAAACAGCTGAATTCTGTTGAACTTTCATCCATAAAAGTTAAAAAAAAGATAATAATAGGAATTCACCTACTGCTAGGTTTTAAATAATATTATCTCCTAACTAAATTATTTAAACCAGTGAGTTCACACTCTGATGTGCAGAGGGGCATTTCTGTAGACCACTCTCTCAATAATCTTCTCTCTGACCCACTAAATAGTTTTTTCAAAAGCCTCTAGAGATTTCACAATGATCACCAGACAATTACACATTACTGATTAATGTGTAATGTGGCCACCTGGCAATGCCATTTAGACTTACACAAGCCCAGATCTAAGTTTGAGCTTGTATTCAAATAAATACTAACATTTCCACAATAAGTCACTCTGATCCAGTGTGTCCCTTGTTGGTCCTCATACACTTCTATACACAGGTCAGCAGCATATGGCGGCCATTTGTCATCATAGATCCCCAGGGCTACCAGGACGGGAACCAGCGAGGAGTCATGGACAGAGTACAAACACAGTCTCTGAGAGCTGGAAATCAATACATATAGTTGAAAGACCCACAAGAAGAATCCAAAGCTTTAACAAGGAATCCAGTGCGAGTTTGCCTCTTTGCCCAAATGAATTTGCGACAAAACTACACATAAATTGTTATGGTAATTTTAGCATAGTTGTTTTAGAATATGGTAGTTTTCGTACTTTTAGGTCATGGTCATACAATAAATGCACTTTTATCGAAAAACTATACTTCACTTTGTTTCATCAAATAGTTCAATGGTTCACCCTGGGTTTTCTTCGTTACTTATTTTTACTACATTGTTAAAAAAGTCAAATATCTTCCAATTATGTCTTATCCACAAACGTGATAAGCCCTAAATCAAACCAGAATGACACCATTTCCTTCAATCTAAACAAAGTATTTTTCTAGTCAGCAGGTAAAAAAACAAAAACAAAAAAAACAAAAAAAACAAAAACAAAAAAAAACAACAAAACATGTTACTCATAATCCTTATGACGCAACTGTTACAAATTTACCTCTAATTACATTAATAGCTTTAAGCAAATTTCCTGTCTCAGTGGGTGTACTGAATGATATCATGATAGGTGGGTATCACCAATGTTGTCAAATCATTAGTGTGATTATGAGGATAAAGTTGCAGTGCCAAACTAGGCTTAAATGCAGATTTAAAAGGAAAAAAATCACAGCAGTCACGTATGTCCTCCAATTAGGCAGTAGGGAATAATGTTGGTGGGTAGAGTAATATAAAGCAGGAAGCTTTTTTTTTTTTTACGTAAAACTCAGCTACCTGAGTTTTTATTCTTTTCATTCATTTTTGAATAATAATAATAGATTTCTGATCTTTGGATTTGATCCTCTGCAAATTTAAAACTACTACAAAATAGCATAAGGATTTAAATATTATACATTTGGCCCTTTCTGAAAAAATGGTCTTCATCACATGAAGCTGATAATCCACTCTAATTGAGATTAAAAATTGTAAAAATATGATATTTTCTACCCTTTACCATTATTTTTTCATTACCTAGTAAGTTTTCAAAGCTCGAAGGGGACTAGTACTGCTGACAGTCACAGGCCTCAAGGTAATTGCCGTTTTCTAAAACAAGCCTAACATTTGGGAACACAAATGCACAAATTAATGACTCCAGCCACAAGTTAACTACCCCAATGTAGAATTACTTGCCACAAGCTTAGTGTTTCTTTACACAAACAATATCCAAGTCTATGGCTGTACACATAACCCCCCCCCCCCCCAATGGACTCTTTATGTGGCATCAATGTGTTCTTGACACTCTTCAGCTCATATGGAAAGTGCAGAACAGGTAGATAAGCGGATAACAGTTTGTGTAATGAAATGCTGTACATGTGCTTGTGGCATGAAATTTTATGTCATGGTAGTTAATTCATTGTTGGAGTTGTTCATTTTGGCATTTGTGCTCACAAATCTGAGGCTAGAGTTAGAAAATGCCTAATCTGTTTACGAGCCCTAAGTTAACTTACTCTGACTGACATTGGAAACAGAAATAGATGACTATTCAGGGAGAAATTGATCAAAATTAAACCCTCATTCTGAGTGGCACACTTTCCATTTCCTGCATGGGATACCATACCAATACCGTACACAAAGCATGCAACATGGACATTAAGAAAATGAAAAATGATTTCAGAATCTTACCTTCTTCCTAAGTAATCAAAATTAAGTGGAATGTGTGGGAAAGGTGACTCAGGTCAGTAAGGACAAACATTCTTTGAGACAGACAATAAAGACCAAATATCTATTAATCTGTTTTGAAATGGAAGCTTGAAAAACTACTCACTTCAAAATAGTTTCAGTTGTGATTTTTTTGGATGGCTTCGTCTAAAGAAAAAGATATATGGCATGGGATATGATGACCCCCCTCAAAAAAAAGGGGGGGGGGCTACCTAGTAGTAGGATGCCAAAAGGACCTACAGTTCAGCACTTACATGTACTTTAGACAGTGCCCTTTCACAAATGTAAGAGGACCTCCTCAAATCCAGGTAAAACAGTAGCTTTAACCTAGAATGTAACAAGATTGACAGTTTGACATGTTATCAAAAACATCAACATCTTTCCAGGTTATCTCCCCTTTACCCTCCACAGATTAGTTACCTTTTGCCATCAAGAACATTATCAATTCTTTCTTCCAGCATGTGGAGGATAGGACCAGCAGCTAATTTCAATCCAAGATCACGCTCCCTGGAAAAAATAACGAAATGAAGTGTCAGATTTCAAGGGCCAATCAGATAATTAATTACCTAAGTTTGTACTAGAATGTACTTAATGTGACAGGCGCATGGAAACAAAAAGGTTCCATTATTATCTGAGACACTTATTTCCCAAGGATTTCCTTTAAAATGGGAAGGTTCTGAAAGTAAAGCCATGCGGACTTTTAAGTACAATATGGCAAGTAGAAAGCATCATCATCTGTCATAAGATTTTACCTTAAGAATCATTTAGGTAGGCTTGCTGAGCTATCAGGTTACTGGACCAAAGTCACGGAACGCGACAAAACCACTTGCCAGGTGGCTAAGATAGTATACTTAATGAACCAAGATTGAAATGATTAATCTATACTTGAGGAAGATAACTTTAACCTTTTCCTCATACTGACTTGCGTAAATCAAAGTAATGGAGCAGAACTTTTTGTGTAATTATATCTTTAAATTGCATTCAATTATTTGACATCAAGTCTCACGAATGAAACTAAGATATGAGAGAACAAGACAACCTATAATATGGGAATTATATGTATTTCTTACTGAGGTGTTCCACAGAGGGCTTGCTTGGCTGATAGTGTGGCCATTTTATCAATTTCGTCAAGGTATGGGAGCAATTTCTCTGGTACCTGTAGGCCATGTGCCTAAAAAGAAAAAAAAAAATGACAGAAATATTACCATTTTTGAACACATATTTTATTCTATTTTGATTATTAGAAAGCTGATTACCCTAATTCTTCTGTGTGCAAATCTATTCCATATGTACAGTTCATGTGCTTAACATGCTGTAAATATGAAAGAAAAAAATCCCATCTAAAGCAATGAAACCAGACCAGAGATGCCTGAAAGAAATGCTCCATTCCAATAATACTAAAGATTGTGATTTAAAGGATCCACCAATTGGCACCTTAATGGACCCAAATCTGGTGTCACTATCCTCAGGCAACTAGCATGATAAACAAACATACTCCTGTGGCATCACAAAGCACAAACAGCTACTAGGCTCTTTTTACTGACATTGTATGCCTTTTCCTACTTAGAACTGGGCAACATAAAATGCTACTTCATTGATTTTAATTAAATGATCTGTAGGTAAAAATGAAAAACATGTTCAAACGATAGAGAAGGTATCAGTATGTAATGCATTTAAAAGATATCTGGGAAGAGGACGACACCACAGATCACAGATCATTATAAAAAACCTATTTTAATAGAGAGTTTTATCTGCCAAGTACAGTCTTCTTGATACATTCTCCATAATAAAAGGTACCTTTACTCCTGGTCAGATGTCTGTTTTCCATTATCTGTGTTTTGTTTAGTAAACTTGAACTGCAGTTTCACTTGAGAAATGCCATCAAGTTAAAACAAACATTTGCTAGAAACTACCTATTTGTAGCAACAGTCACTCCAGAGTTCCACAGGCTACACTATTCACAGGTATGTTACTACCTAATGCTGAAAGTGACAGCTCACTGTGTTTTTTTCAAACCTTGGTATTTCCTTTTCAAATAGGCTATGCTAATGTCTCAAAGGCTTGTTAGATACTTTCAATACTCTTTTCAAAGACTGCAATCCTACTGAACCTGAGAATAAAGGCAATGCAAGTAGTCAACTAAAAAAATTAAATGGAAGAGATAAAAGGAAGTATAACTATGATAGACATTAACATACTAGTAGACCTTAGATTGCAGTCAAATTGATCTTCCAAAAGAAATCAAAATTATATGAGAGAATAGACCCACTTTAAGTGTCAAAATTTTGAAACTTAGCAATTAATTTGTTAGTTGAACAAAAAGGTGCAGGTGTGAAATTTACAGAATAAAAATTCTGATGGCGTATTTGACACTTTTCTCTTGATGCCAAATGTCAACTTGAACCTAAAATCAAACAATACATAAAATTGATTTCCTTTTTCTAAATCACTTTTTGGATTTCAACGAGCCAAAATCAAATTCATTGCTTTTACTACCTATCATCAAAATCTTTGCTTTATCTTAAATTATCCTCTTTTTTAAGCAACTTAAATAGATAAAGAAATCTTAATTAATTTTATCCAAATATTTCAAAAATAGCATATTATTCAGACACATCTAGACACCAAAACTGAAAAATATGCAGAAATAAAATATGAAACTGCAGAAGCAATCTTTGTAACTTCACACTGGTGTAGATATGCACACATAATGCTATTGGAACATGATTCTCAGGGTTATATACTACTGTAGTTGGTAGTGCCAGGATCCACCTGTGTCATTTAACTGGAGGCGAATATCTCTATACTTCAATCATAAAAAATAAATAAACAAATTTTAATTTTAATTAAAATTAATATATAATCAAGGAAAAGAAACACTGTTTTACTTTACTTGTTAAATGATTCAGCATTTCAAAGCTATTTATTTTTTCACTGAGTTAAGAACAGCTGTTTGTTATATGCATAAAATATTAACCTTACCAAATCATGAGTATGAAAAAGAGATCAACATGTGTTTCAGATCATTGAAAAATAAAAAACTCACAAATCACAAAAAACTCATAACTAGACAGCAAAGCTGACAAATATACTGACACCATACAGGAAACAAGGCAGCAAAGCTCTCAAATGTCCAGACATTACACAGAAAAAATGTGCACAAAATAATGTTTTGGACAATTTTGATGCACTGTTACATAATGCTTTAACATAGCATAATCACTCTTACCTTCTTACATTATGAACTACAGGTAACATGGATATTGAAAAACCAGAAAGTGATTTAATTCCATATGATATAAAAGCCAATGAGAATGCTAATGTGTAAAAAATGAAAATTTCACACACACACACACACACACACACACACACACACACACACACACACACACACACAAACAAACAAACAAACAAACAAACAAAAAAAAAAGAATAATTACTGTACATGTAAACTAATAATGCTGATTTTTGAAAGCAACTTGCCTCTTTACCAAACAAAGCCACTCAATAAATGTAGAGTAAACCAAAATATGGTTTGGCAGTTATGGGGGAAGGTCATCAAATTGTACAAAAAACAGAATAATTACTGTAAATGTAAACCAATCATGCTGATTTTAAAAAAGCAACCTGCCTCTTTACCAAACAAAGCCACTCAGTAAATTTAAAGTAAAACAAAAATAGTTTGCAAGTTATATAGTTATTGGACAGCCACAGCAACATCGACAGTGACAGTGACCACGTGGACAGACTAATCAGAATATATACAGACACTTACAGTGTTTGTACATAAAAATGATCCAATCAGGCTAGTTTTTGAACTTTTTAAAATTGTGTATAGTCCTATTAATCATTCCTGTAAGTTTGAGAAAAATGAGTTAAAAATGCTTTTCCTTTTAATGGTGCCAGTGGGCAAATTTATTTTGGTCATTTTCGATGCAATATAATCACCACCAATTTTAGAGTATGCAATACTGTTACTGTGGACATAAATAAAAAAGTACCTAACACAGGGCTTCATAGTCATAGGAGTTCAAAATCACACATTTAAATGTCAATGAATGAAAATTGAAAAATTAATGAAAAACTTAGTTAAGGTGGATTCTCTTACATAAAAACCAGGCTATAAATGTAGTTGCCAATCTCAAAGTGGACAGTCTTGGCAAGTGTACTGTTTGATGTGAAAAGGGCCTTCATCCAATATAGCATTAGCAGTTTCAGGTTTTTAACATGAGAGGCCTAAAAGACAGCACAATGACAGTAAAAGCATAGCTAGCTTGTTTTATATAAGAGCCTTATGTAGTACTGGATATTCTTACAGGTGTAATATGTCACTTGAACAGAAAAAAATCTTTATCATGACAAAACTGCATAGAATATGATTTATTTTAAGGATGCTTTCTCTTTTTAGTATGGTAATGGAATCATACAATAACCACTGCTCAACAAAGAATACATGTGACATTGTAACAAGTTTGTAAAACCACACGCTAACAGTGCAAAGATTCTTGAAAGATCTCCTTAGTCTAACAGCATTTCCATCCAAACTTCATTACCTCAAAACTACACACAAAACACACAAAAAATCTAATAACACTCATTAAAATAATCTGATCATTTTGATTTTCAAACTCAGCCTGGCTTTTTTTATCAAATAAAATTCCATAATAACAAGAAATACTATTTGGCAGTTATGCTGTTAACAACTGTGCTGAATAGTGCCAGCTATAATGAAAGCTATGGTGACATATGGACAGACAAAAGTAAGCAATATATAAAGACAAGAAAATATTCAGCAAAGAATGCCTGAAATAGACTACAAAATAACTGACATAATTAATCTATTCTGTGAAATTACCTAGCTTGGCTTGGCTCAAACTAAGACTGGGTTCCCATACCTAGACTGATCTAACAGGATCGATCCCTCTCCAAAAGGTGTCTCGCTAAATTGCTTTCAGCTTAAGCCGCTTCGATGTCTAGCACACCTACTGAAGCTGCTAAACGATAATTAATTACCCCCTAGCAGCTTCTGTAGGCCTAACAGACATCTAAGCTGCTTAAGTTGATTGCAATTTAGCAAGATTCCCCTCTGAGTTAGATTTATCCAGTTAGTACGATAGTTTGAGAATGGTCTCTAAGATATTGGGGAGATTTCAAACTTTATACAGAGGTCAGACACCAGCGGATACAGATTGGAAAAAAAATAATATGTACTTTATTTACAAGATTACCCAATTTTGATTCACTAATTCTCTTTGATCATAATCTGTTCAACTGTTTAGTTTTATTAAGTTTATCATATGAGTTTCTTTTAAGGACTTCTATTCTGAAATACAAATGAATTGTAGGGCCTTTCATGTAGTTAAAAGACTCAGAACAAGATGATGGAAAGCAGGAGGATCTGCCTGCATGGTGACACTCGCTTACGAAATAAAAAAAAAATGTGGACTGTTCTTTAGTTTTTGAAGACAAACATTAAGCATCCATGTTCAATTACTAAATCTAAATGTTATAAAAAATTATAAGCCTTCAATAGGAAACCAACTTTGATCTTTAGGAGACACAAAAAATGTTCCATTTTTTTAAATTTTGTGTGAAGTACATAGTGTATCATCTTTAAAAAGTGCAGTGTGACATTTGCTGGCAGTCTGAGGCAGCAGACAAGTAAATCTTACACCAGATTTGTCTTTTACCAGCTGTTTTATTGTATTTTCCATTATCTATAGATTTCATCTTCTGGCAAGCCAAGTCCGATTCAGATCGTTAGTTTTTGCATCCTACTAGTAAGGTGGGCTGAAAAGTTTAAAGTGTGCTCTGGAAGTTCACTTTATGACTGACAAACACTAATGTGCATGTCAAGATTCAAATCCAGACAGATTGGCAATCTGCCAAGACAAGATACCAATTGGAAACTTACAGACTCAAATACCTAGATATTAAAATATGAGGCTGCCTTATTATGAGTTTGACATTGTTCAAAAACTCTTCATCTATATTATAGATAACATGCTATATTACAAACATATGATTTAGAATTTAATAAAACTTCTCTTTAGGAATGTACTTCAAATGCAACTTTAAAATATGAAAAAAATGGAGCAAATAACACAGGTTGTGGTTTTAGCGATTCTGTACTGTGACAAAACCATTCCAATATAGTAGCTAAATACAGGT